GCCGGCCGCGCTTCCGCTCCCGCTCCGCCCTCCGCAGCTCTATGGCCCCGCGATCATAGAGAGGAGGGCCCTTCCCCGGGCGCCCCGCCCTCTGCAGGAGCGGAGGAGCTCGGCACCCGCCGCCGCGCCGTAGGCAGCAAACCCATCAATCAGCTGGCAGCCCCGATCGATGGATGGATGGATGGATCGATTGTTGGCAGAAGAAGCCCAGAGGAGCCGCTGCGGAAGAACATGTTGGGGCCCCGCGTGGGCGGGGCAGGCGGGCAGCGCTTGCGGCGCAAAGGGGCAGCGCGGCGGGTCCCGGCCGGGCGGCGCGCCTTCCACGCTCCCGCGCAGCCTCCTTGCGGGGAGGACCCGGCCGAGCGCGCAGGCTCCGCGGGCGCTGCGCCCCTTCATGGCGGGCGCCCGGCTGCAGCGCCCCCCCGCCCGCCGTCGCCGTCCTCTCGCACTTCCCCGGGGCGCTGCGTCTCCTTCCCGCTCTCCGCCCTCGGCGCGGCGGATGCGGCGCTCCTCCAGCGCGCTGCCTCGCTTCCTCTGCCGCTTCTCACCGCTTGCTCTGCTCCTGGTCCAGCTCTCCTTCCGAGGCGCTCCGCAGGCCGAGCGAGCGGCTAGGGAGGCAAAACGCACCGTTGTCTGACGCCTTTGCCTATGGAAAACCACCGTTTTCCCGATTCCGTCCTCGGGGTGACTTCCCCGCAGTGCAGGCGATGCATCCGAGCGGCCAGGTGCTGAGCTGCTCCCCTGACTTTCAGGACCGTCCACGCCTGTTCATGATCTGCACATCAAAGGCTTCGCTGCAGACTGTCGACTGACCTTCTTCTGAAATCCTCTGGCTTAAGTAGCTATTGTGCTGTTTATTGCGTTTTATAGTTTTCAGTTTTGGTCTGTATAGCACCCAAAACTTTTCAGCTGTTAAGTGGTATAGAAATGTAATAAAGAAATAAATACTAACAGAGGAGGAGATTTTCATTTCCCATCAGGTAAGTTTGGTCTTGTTGCCAAACAACCACTCACATGAATTACACCTGGACTGCAGACATGTTTTAAATCTTTCATCACGCTGCAAATTTGCTATTCACTTTTGGAGCACCAGATTAATGCATATGCACATTTAGTGACAGATTTTATTTTCCTGGGCTGCAAGATCACTGCAGGCGGGGACTGCAGCTAAGAAATTAAAAGACGCTTGCTCCTAGGGAGGAAAGCTATGGCAAATCTAGACAGCATACTAAAAAGCAGAGACATCACCCGGCCAACAAAAGTGTGTATAGTCAAGGCTATGGTTTTCCCAGTTGCAATGTATGGCTGTGAAAGCTGGACCATAAGGAAGGCTGAGTGCCGAAGGACTGAGGCCTTTGAATTGTGGTGCTGGAGGAGACTCCTGCGAGTCCCTTGCACCGCAAGGCAATCAAACCGGTCAGAGGAGATCAACCCTGACTGCTCTTTAGAAGGCCAGATCCTGAAGATGGAACTCAAATACTTTGACCACCTAATGAGAGGGAAGGACTCCCTGGAGGAACAATTGGCGGCAAAAGAAGAAGGGGACTGCAGAGGATGAGGTGGCTGGATGGAGTCACAGAAGCAGTCTTAAGTGGACTCCGGGGCATGGTGGAGGACAGGAAGGCCTGGAGGAATGTTGTCCATGGGGTTGCGATGGGTTGGACACGACTTCGCGACTAACAACAACATGAAGGGTTTTTTAAAATTTTGATTGCCTCATTCAAAATCATATGTTTTCAGTTTAGTATTTCCATAGTTAACAAATTTACATAAGCACAGGCTATGCAGAGAACCGTGCACAACCCTTAGAATTTCCAACATGCTGATGGGTAATCAGATCTTCTATGCACAAGTTGCTAGAATATCCTAGAATCACAATCAAAAGCTTATCCAGGTATGCAGGATGCCTTTTTTGATCATTTTGTCAGTGGTAAATATGATACCCCTTCTGCTCAATCAGTTAAGAATCTCTAATTCTTAGCCATCAATTTTAATGCCTGGTTTTTTAGTCTTAATATGTTTTCATTAGATATTATTCCTCTGCTTACATGCCAACTTGATTAATTTGGTTGGGTATATTGTCATGGTCATCATTATATTGGCCTACTCTTGTATTGTCTTATTGTAATAATTCTTTTCCCTGTTTCTTTGTTTTTATAGCCTTTTAATTTTGTAATCCATCCAGAGAGCCATTTAGCTATTGGGTAGTATAAAAATTAAATTAATAACTTCTAAGTAAGCATACATAGCATCCAGAAACAACAGGAAAAGTTCCCTGCTGAATTACTATAAATATTGAAGCTGTATGAAGAGGAGCAATATTTATCGTCTAGTTAGTTTGGAGTGTCTGTGTGTCACAGGAATCCTTCTATTTGTGTTCGCTTTTGTGCAGTTCCCACATGCAGTTTTTAACTGTAATTGCTGAGCACTGCTATATTTGTCACCTCACTGAAACAAGTTTTGACAGGTTAAGCTTAAAAAAGCAATAAAATTAATTTAGAACTGAAAATAAGATTTGTTTTTGATTTTATCTGTTGCTGTATACATGGGAGCTTTCTTCAGCTGTCAAAAATGATCCTGTTAGAAATGCAGGGACTCATACATATTTACGTAGAAGAAAGCAGGCTTACTGTGTTCAGTGGGGCTTGCAGCTAGTAAATGCACATAAGATTCCAGTCTTGCAGCCCTATCCATGCACACTTAGTGGTAAAGGAGGGATCACTGCATAAATTGAGCCTCATTCCTCGGAAACTCTGCTTAAAATTGCAGTCTGGAATAAATGGCAAAGTTGCGCTTTCCTGCCTTTAGATGTTTCAGTTCACACAATGTTGTGTTTATAATTTAATTCTTCAGAACACTGTGTATATAAATAGGCTTTAAGTGAGAAGAGAAACTGTTGACTGAACTCTTCCATACCTGTTTCTTTTACATTTGTTTCCTGGGTAATACTTTTTGTGCAGTAAGAGTGAAGCTGTTTCTTTCTCATTGTATGCATTCCAGACTCTTCTCTTCCATGTGCCTTTATCTCCAAGGCAAGAGGGATTGAATCTTTTCCACCTTGAATTCAGCAAAGCTGTCACTGATGGCAGGGCAAAAGCTAAAAGACAAGGAAGGAAAGCCATAAGGAAGTAAGGCCAAAATGTGAAAAATACCAAGCATATTCTAGCTCTAACTGTTCAGGAGGTGGAAGAAGTACGGAAGAGCAACCATTTTAGTCAAGCGATGAATATGTCTTGATACCCAGAGTGGGAGTGAGGAATAAACTCCTGGGTTCTTGGCTTTTTCCTGGAAAGAAAGGAAGGGGAAGAAAATGTTTCAGCCCAAGGGGTGGAGGGGGATCTATTTTATGGAAAAGAAGTGGTAGAGAGAGGGAAAAATATCTTCTCCCCTGCCTTACTTCTCTGCTGCTTTGAACCGCAGTGCGTTCCATGCTTGGCTCAAGAAATGTGCATTGTGGGAGATTTTGGTTTGATGTGCCTAAGAAATTGGCAGAACAGAAAGAGGAGCATTCTCTCGCTGCTTCCAAAGCTCTCCTGCTCCACCAGTGCCAGAGAACAGAAACTGCGAAACTGGTGTGGGTGGTGGAGGGAATTTAAGATGAGGCTGCCGTAAGAGCAGGTAAATGAATAGGTGCTCTGTGAGAGGAAGGAAACTCAGACATCACAGGAAAAGAAGAGGCATTGGGTAAAGCCCGCATCACACCACACACACATACGGCTGTGTGATGCACAGAAAAGGTCCATCCAGTCCAGCATCCCGTTTCCCATAAAATCATTCCCACTGTTGTTCCCTAGCAACAGGTTTCCAGAGGCAGTTCAAGGCAGCTGTGTGTGCACTGAAGAAAAAAAAATCTGCGCTTTGAAACAGGCCAGAAGGTTGATAAATGCAACGGACTGGTCAGTGCCGGCTTTGAGGGGAACGCCCAGCGGTTTCAGAATTGAAACGAGGCCTCTCTAATTAAAATGAATTAAAAAAAAAAAAACCATCTACCATTACAGAATGTTCCAGATGGAAAGGCTGAGAGCAACAAGGTGGCCCACTGAGCCTGAGGTGCATCTGAGCCCCCGCTTCTGTTTGCAGTCTAACCCCTGGGGGGGATCCAGGTTGAGGGCACACGATTTAGTGCATCCTAACAACGGCTGATATAAACAGCGAACAGATGTGTGCCAACTCAAAATGCAAATGGTGGACAAGCCCATTGTGAATACGAGGAGACAGTTCCCTGCAGAGCCGATCTTGCCCTGCACTTCCACTCCACTGGGCCCTGATTTGGCTTTCCGCTGTTGTCTCCCACTGCCTGGTGACTAGTTTGTTTAGAGGTTCCCCATGAGTTGCGTTAATTTTGTTTTTTGGGCAGTCTTGAGGGCACTCTAAATGTCAGCCGAGGACTGGGAAAGGTATCCAGTCATCTGCTAGCCAAACTGTAGCTGCTTGGATAGGTGTTATCCATTATTTGAGTGAGTTTGGATAAAATACATTCTGGGAAGCAGGCGGGCAGCACCTTGCATACCTTGAAAGAGTTGTCCGCTACTCAGTGTGCCTGAACGAGGCCAACTGCCAGCTATGAGGATGCCCTGGGCATCTATACAGATTTTAATTTTTTTTCCAGTTAGCTATGTGCAAAACATGCATTTTGTCTAGATTAATGGGAGCAGGTGTGATTCTGGTGAATAAGAAAAAAAAAAATATAAGGAAGGGATTCTTCCTGAGAGCAGAACTTGGCCATGAACCTTTCTGGTCCTTTTGCTCCTCCCTACCTGGATTTCAGCCTGAAAGAACAAGGGGAAGTGTGGGTGCATGGGGAATAAGGCAAAAGCACAATT